TGTAACTGAATCGAATGATATTATACCTATTGGAGTGATGGATATTATGGGAAATGATACTGCTGATATGAATTATACGTTAACAAATAGCATATTCAACATAGATTCCAACTCATCTGATCAATTAGTTAAAGCTACTGTAGACAATTCAATGAATAAAAATGCATCAACTTTATATTTAAGCGGTTCAACTCTAGATGTAGACACAAATAAGAAAACCGACTTCAATTTTTCTATTTCTACAGATGCATTATTTGTCGACGTAAATAAAACCTCTCCTGATCAATTAATGACATTAGATACCGGATTGATGGATCAAATGCAACAACAGACGACAACACGTGGATCATCTGTCGGAATGGCAGAAAACCTGGCTGTCATGTCGATTATCGGAGGCGAATTAGGCGAAGGGTTAGGGGAGGCTGTTGGGATTGGAAAACTTGGTGGCGAAATGGGTGAAGGATTAAGTGAGGGATTGATTGCGGGAAGTTTAATGGCAGCTGCGGCAGGAGATTCAGCTAATACTATTTCTATGACAACAACAGGACTAGATGCAACCTATTTCGACACTGCATTGGATCAATTTAGGAACATATCTACGGATAACTCTAGCAATATAAATTTTGGTTCACAAGTCAACATTATAAATGATATTATCTCCTTGCATAATGATTCGGACTATTCGAATTCTAATATAACAGAATTTAAATTGAATTTGACATTTGATGATAATAATAACACAGAAATTATTAAAAGTATGACACTTAATGAGACAACCGTCATTTCAGAAAATGCTAATTCTATTAATAATGAAGCAACAAACAACATTTTGGAGATTTCAAATCAAATGGGCATGCCGATAAACAACGATTTGAGTATGATCCTCACTAAAAACAGTGGAATTTTGAATTTATCGTCTCTGTTTGATATAAATAGAACTGTTTCGGAGAACAGAAATGAGGTAACAGGTTATGCAGTTCTGTCAGATTCGGCCGTACGTAACAACGGTAAGAAAACGGATACTAAACAAATTGTTAATAAATATGGCGTCATATCAAGTGATATAGAAAATATAACTGATTATTTGAAGAATGATACAAAGAAATCAATCGGATCAAGAGAACAGATCAAACTAGCTTTTGGCAAAAAGATGGGTATTGCAAAATTTTCTTTTCAGAAAGAAACAAGTAGACAAAGTGAGAATTACAAATCAACAGATCGATTTAACGATTCAACTTACGACGAGCTTACGAACCAATCATCCGTCTTATTATCCAATGTTGAGGCGCCAGCTATTAAAGTAACAAAACTAACGGAAATTCGCAATGTACCTTTAGTAAGCGGAAGTGATGTTCAACAGACTGAAACTATCATGTACGACGCTTTGTCACCAGTTGTTTCATTGGCTACTGATATAAAGACGCGGAATAATAATTCAACAACGGAAAGCACAATAAACAAAGATACATCTACTATTACACAAATGAAAGCATCACCAGCAATCGATGATCTGACAGTGAAAGAACAAAATAATAGTAAATCTTTTGATATTTCTCAGAATTTCACAAAAAACGAGCAAAATGTAACCTTAATGAATACCGTTGCAACAAAGAAAGAATCAAGCTCAATACCTGACACCACCGCTTCTTTACAACTAAATACTGATAAAGACATAGAAAGATTATCAAGAGGGACTACAGAATTAGAATTTCTAAATCGAATGGAAAAGATGTTGCGATTTTTATCAGAATATATCGACAGTGTGAATTATCATTTTTACGGAGTACGTGCACAGCTTGATGATTATACAACAACTACCGGAACACCTGCTCTACCTGTTCTAGATTTACCAGCCTCAAACACACATGAATCAAAAGAACCAATATTACAAAATGTACAATTGGATAACACAGATAATGCTCTGGATGTGCAGTACGATTCAACCATGAAATCAAAAATACAGAACAGAACATTAAAAATGTATGACAATGTTCAAGATAAATCTAAACAACAGTTTGTAACAGTAAAAACAGTTTCCAGTGGTCAAATGACACGACAAGAAGTAGACACTTCTGTCAGCAACAGTACAAATATTACAAAATTAAAATTCGATGCAATTTCGGACTTGAAGGCAGAGAAACAGGTTTTAGGCCAAGATAATGTTCAAGACAATTCAAAACAACAGTCTAGTTCAGTTGACCGAAAAACAGTAACAGGATCGAAAGTAGAAACTTCTGTCAGCCAAAAAATAAATGAAGTGCAAAATACAAATACATTGGAAAACTCAATGATATTTCCAAACGATACAAATGAAGTTGATATGGTAAACAATAGAAGCACAACAGGAGAACAAATTCAAATTAATTCTTCTGCAAAAACCAATATATCAGCAGAAAAAGTAAACAATTCAAGACCAGAAGTTTTGACAATTGAATCTTCAATAATGTATAATGATTCCATAGACATAGCAAACACAGACTTGCTTGAAAGTAGAAGGAAATTAGATCGAACATTACCAACACCCGCTGCACTGAGCGAAAACGATACTGTTTTTAATAAACAAGATACAAATGGAACAGTTATTGCATATTTGACCTCAAATATGACTGTAGCATCAACATATGAAACAACTACTGAAATTCCAACAAAAATAGAGCTTTTAACGATAAACAAAACCGAAACAACCACGCAAAATGTTAAAGTCATGTCAGTTGATGTGAACACAACATCACACAATAATGTGACAGGAAGTATATATAACAATACAAGAAATGCAATTAATGAAACGTCGGTTTCATTAAGTGAAGCCAATATTACAGTTTCAGAAAGCATTAAATCAATAAAAAGACCTGAAATTTCTGTATTTTCTTTAAAGGAGACGATTTTAACAGGTACACAGGCTTCAATGTCTGGAAAAAAAACAGGAAGTGGTCGAATATTAGTGACAGACTATATCACGGAACCAGAAAAAAATGTAACTGAAACAATTACAAATGCAAACATAGCACACGACACAACAACGGAATACTCGACAGAATTAAGTTTATCTCCTACAACGCTATCTGATCTTATGGAGACACCAAACGTGTCAACTATAGACTCTTCGCATCGAAGTAAAACTACTGATGTCGTTGCACAAACTAATTACGTTGAACCAACAATAAGTACTAGAAAACCTTTCGTCGATAGCGCACAACCAGAAATAAAACCACCATCCTGGCTTTATGACGTTAATACAAAACCAACAACCTTGGCAAGGGCACCGACGAAGAATATTATGGATATTGTAATGACAGGTAGAAAATAGGCTATAAATTAGGTCACATATGTGGTATTCAAATTGTTCAGACAGCTGAAGTTAAATAATTAGAAGTGTATTCTAATCTAGTTTAATTCACGTATCGTCATGGGGAGAAATAAAAGACACTTGTGCAAATTACAAAATAGAATGAGAGGAGACTTCATGACAAAATTTCGGAATGCTTGTAGAAATGCATTTGAAAAACAAGTTTTGGAATTATGGTGCTCTTTCTAAAAAGTGCTGACTTACATTCAATTATTCAATATGGAAAAAATTGAAATGAATACTTAAAAATTATTTCCGTGTTAAAAAAAACAAGCTTGATATCAAAGCGACCAAAGCATGCATCTTTGCTTTAAATTTTTAAATTACCCGTCTTCAAAAGTTATCTCATTCTATTCTTATCTAATCTAGTCTACCTAAACTTGCCACTATTTAAATATGAAATCAAAATTCTTCATGTTCTCATAAACAGAAATTGTTTCGATAATGTTAAATATTTCTGTATGTTGTAGTTCTTTCTTATATTAACTATTTTATGATTTTTAAACATTGAGTATGTTAATAGATAAATCAGAGCAAACATATCTAAACGCGTTCATTTGTAGATGCTTTCATACTTTATATAAGTTTAAGAAGGTTAGAACTAAAATAAGTTAACCAATCCAAAAATATTTTAAACGTGAAATGTTGCATTAAAATACATTTTTATGTGATGGATGAATGACGATAATGTATGTATGTACTATTAACTGTAAACAATAACTGCTGAAGGATGTAGACAGAGGTAAAGGGGAATAACTAATAATAATCTTTGATACTTTTGCGTCAGTCCCTTTATAAATAGTATCGTAAGCATACGATTCAATAATTTTAAGTGAATAACAGCTGTCGTATTTCCTGTAAATATTATTTGATATATCACAATCAGGTTTATTAATGAACCGATTAAGTAGCAATGTTGCTTTAAATGCATGCCAAGTTTGCCTTTCTGTCTAGCAGATGAGGGTCGTCCTGTTTGTTTTGGCTTTGTAAAAACGCATGGACATCGTTATTCGATTTTCAAACACGTAAAATTAAAGTTGTTAACATGATAGAAACTTTCACTTCCTACGAATATCTTTTTTTACATATATAATCGATTTGTTGTGTCATAAGCTTTCGTTCTGTAAATATATGAAATGTATTATATACCAGAAAAAAGGAGCATTCTCGACATTCATATTTATATGACAAACATATTTTGAAATTCATCAAAAATACAATGAAGAAATGCTAGGTTTCGAAACAATTGGATAGACATACTGTAAGATCATTATTTAGGTTTTGTGTAATGTTCTTTGAAAGTTATACATTATTTCATTACAATGTTGTTTTGAGGATTATGGGTTTAACGTGTGTTTTGGGGTATATGGTTTTGGTTTCTTAAAACTTGTATGTCCTAAATGATTCTTTTTGCTTAATTTTTTATAAAGAAAAATTTAAAGTAAATCTCAGTACAAACATAAGCGACAAAAAGGGCAATGATATTATTATGCTTGGTTCTCATATTTTGTACGCAGTTAAATTAATTATTTCATGTTAACGTTTCTACCAATAAATATGTAACATTAGGACCACAAGAAAACATAATTTGAATATTCCAAGGTTGATATCTGACATGTATTCATGTAGTTTTTTTTTATTGTTTTTTTTATAGCTTCATCGCCTAATAAAAAAAGACAATCAAGTCAAAACACAAATAGACGATTCCAAGGTGAGTCTTCATTGTTTACGTCACTTTATACAACATATGATATGTTTCGTATTAACTAATATTTCATGTAGATTCAGTATAAAACGGAAGATACAGACCTTTTCTACAGTAACTATCTACAATTTTATCAAAATATAAATTAGCACGACTAAATTTAACCTCTTCTTATTTTGTCAGGACTATTTATATTCTATCTATAATGTACGTGTAAATGCTTAACTGCAGAATACGTTTTACTGAAAGATTTCTCTAATGATTCAACAGTTTTGTTGTAGGCTGTTACTTATAATAATGTTAGTATGACATTTTTGTGTTGCTTTAATATTTTTTACCGAAAATTATCGATTTAAGATTTGTTTTTTTAGTGTAAAATTGAGATAATGTCTCTTACATAGCATTTCGTCCTTGATGTATATTTTCTCGACACAACGTAATGATAACGAGGTCTAGTTGTTAAGAATGAACCGGAAACTTTCATATTTAATTCTTACTTTTGCAGGTATCGATGTTGCTGGTATGTCTAGTAAAATGGTTAGAGGTATGTTGATGTGGATTTTATTCTTGATGTGATATTCACGTGATCAGGACTTTAATAAAAATTAATATGTAAATGACCTGCCTTTAGTGTGTTTGAATAAATAAAAGTAAATACAATCACTTCATTTGTTAGTACGTTTTGTCATTTAAATAATAAAGTCAAAGCTAGATATCTGCATTTTTAAAGTTACGTGTGTGCAGATAATCATGGTAGGGTATTCTATATTACAGATGTACAGGCACCACGACAAAGTATACAACAATCACAGTCTAACAACGGGATGCAAAATTTTGTTGGTAAGATATTATGTCCTTTAAACAAATATGTTTTTACCAAATTACAATAAACAACTTTTCGTGAATACATTTTTAAGTATTATATTTATTTTCGGATTTTCTATCATGGTTCATGTTTCCATATACTGTAAATTCAGTAATTATTGCGAGGTTTTTATTATTGCGAATAATTCAACTGGGTAAGTAACGTCAAAATAAAAACTCGCATTCCGAAATGTGACACATATATTTGCATGCAGTTTTTCCTGTCATCGCATTAACTATTCTCACATTTTAATCCGTAAGGTCAAATTCGCAATAATAAATGCACGTAATAATTTCTGAATCTACAGTAATTGAAGATTTAAATTAGACATTAATAATCAAACGCTAACATTAGCTAATTTATAGTACTAACAGAGGCGACGTGCGTGACATGTCGATTAGCAACGTGCATTTCAAAGTACCTTTTAAACTATTAACTTAAACAACGGAATGCTATATTTTGTTGATAAGAGATTGTGTCCAATGAAACATTTGTCATCTCAACTAAAGTAAAATGAATTATTATCGCGGATACTTGTTTTTATCGTAAAGCCCTGTTAAGTAACCCTTTCCGATTTTACATCTTTGCCGATGTATTTATATAAATGAAGATCAAATTTGGCATATTCGTGACTACCATTATTATTACTTGCGGTATCTTTCAACTCTCCAAATTTGCATAAATAAATTGATTGCCAAAATAAGTTGGTTTACAGTACCCACGACTTAATTGTCTTTCCGAACATCTTACGTGTACTTACATGACACTCGATACCAAGGTGGCATTTAGAACTCATAAATCGATGGGAAACTGACAAAACAAATAAGTCGAATATAACTGCCATTTGTAAAATACAACTTCGGCTTTAAAACTCAGGCTTAGTCTTAAAAATATTCGTATCATTTATTTTGGTTGCTTAGACTTGTCAATTAAAGTAATAAGATATTTAATTACTCTATTAAATAATAGGAATAGATTGTCAAATAGTTGTCTTTACCTTTAATTGTTTTAGATATTGTATTAATATGTAACTTCAAAATGCATATGGTTTTTCCTAAACTTTGTTTTTAACAATCATGATTTGTTGTTTGTTGCAGAAACATTATCAGCTGGACAGAGGAACGCTTTATTAGCGATGTTAGGTAAAATATTTGTTTATTCTTTTATAATGAGTGATTTTGACCTTATAAGTTCTGCAAACAAATATCGCATATTACTTAAGTTTTCTGAAAGATATATTTTTATATCAAAATACATATGATTCCCAGACTTACTGTGTGCTTGATGGTACATCCTCACAAGGTCACGAAATTGAATTTAACAATGTTTAAATTCCCAAGCTTTCTACCGTTGACCATCGGAAATCAAGCTTACATACATCGTATATTATTACAAAAAAACTATCAGATAAAACATCACATGTAATTTCGATCTAAAGTAGATTTATATCGTGAATGTCTCTCTAGATTGACCTCTAAATTTGAATTAAGATTCCCTTGTTCAAATCAGTATGAAAGACAAATCTGAGATTACATTAAAACATAACAACACAAACACCACTTCTCTAATACAAATTTTACTACGGAGGTATTAAAGTATTCAGTCGGCAAATATTATTATTTAGTAGCTATGCTATGTTAGTTCCAAAATCAACGACACTACTTTTATTCACCTATATTTTATAACATTTGTTATCTTTTTTTAATATAACAGGAGCACCACCAGCGACAACAACACCAAAACCGACACCACCACCAGCTCCTACGCCAGATCTGAATGCTTTGAAAATGAAAATGATGCAAAGCTTACTTAGTAAGATTCTATTTTTTTTGTATTTATTTCCAAGGATATGTTTTTTTTCTTTCTAAAAAGGAAAATGATGAATAGCTTACTTGGTACTGTTCTGTAACAGAACGCATTTTCGAGACATGTTTTTTATTCGCGTGCAGCCCTTTTAAGCGATTTATGTTGGTGATTTTCTAATTTAGCTACTAAATTTGTATCAAAATATGTATAGTCGAATAAATAAATCGCTTATAGAAATTATGTGACAACAGTAATTGTAGTATTCTTAAAAACAATTCTTTTTGTATGATGTTACTGTATAAACAAAACTCACCAAAGATACCAGGATTACAATTGGTTTTGCCATTTGATATATATATCTACATGTATCAATGTTACAGCAACTCTATCGTACAAGAAAAATTGATCAGACATCCATAGACTAAGTCTGTTTGACTTAGCAAAAATAGACGTGTTGCATGTATAGATTTTTCTAAAAAAATCTTTATTAATCCATTTCAGAAAGTTTTTTTTTTTTTTTCTCTTTGTTCAGGTTTTGTATACCTAGTAACTAAAATTTGTAAAACCGTTATGATAACTATCCATTTACAACTTTTTTTTACTTTTTAAATGTGTATAATGTATTATTTTATGACATTCTCGTTGTCAATTACATGTACCTCTTTTTATGCGACAAATTGTCTGCTATTCACTTAAATATCACTTAAATATTTAGAAAGCAAGTTTTACGTCGTTAAACATGAGAAATGTTATACTTAGTTTTAATGTCAATTCATGTTTTTAACAAGTATAGGTGCTATCAACAATTGTAAACAGCAAATTTAGTTTCGGTTAGAATCTGTTATCGTTTAACCTGCACATGAAATTCACCTCCTCCGGTTTCCTAAAGATTTATTTTTTTCCGTTTGGTTATAAAGGTCGTCATATGTTTCGGTACTTATTGATATCTTAATATTTTTATTTCGAGCTTAAAACATTGCTTTTCCAAAAGTTTCCAAAGGCACCAACAGTGCTAAACCTTTTTTTTTTTTGCTTTGAATTTTATTGCTTTTGATAGTTGTTTTACATTTAAGATTATTTTTTAATTTTCTATCGTCTTGTTTTTTTTCTTTTTGTTAGTACTGGTACAAATGATCGTACATTAGGATTCTAGGCATAAATACAAAGGATATATAATTCTCAAGATAAATGACTTTTCATAAGAATATTACGACTTTGAATTGTCGTTATATTTCCAGTGACTTATCTTTTGAAAAATGTTTTACAGAAAAAAGTAAAGGGTATACATCGTTATTAAATGTCTATGTTTCAGATAGTCGCAGATCTTCCATAGATCCAATGCAAGCAATGTTAGGTATTCCGCTTTGCCACTATGCTTTATTTGAATGATCCAGCTTAATACGTTTTGTTCCACATCTTAACATTTCATTGAGTAGTACACCATCCTTTTGCAAATATTTATTATGCGTGATGCAATGATAATGTAAAACACGACCTAAAGGGTGATGGGTGTCAATGCTTAGTATTTCATATGTTATCTTGATTTATTCGGAGCTTTTGCTTATGTTTTGGAATATATGTATTAATATGCCATGTATTATTCCGCTAACATCAAGAAGTATTCAGTATTGGAGCCTGAATATGGAAATTAACTATATTAATATTATCTCATTCTTCTCCGTACATTGAACATGCATCTTACCTAGATTTTGTAAGTTATGATTATACACACAATTTGATTCACTTGTACATGGCTCTTAATAAGTGACATTTAAGCAATTGAGTAAGTAATATATTTTGTTAGTTTAAGGAAACGGAACATGTTAACAAAAAGTATAGGAAAGGCTTCAAGTCTTGTACACCAGACGCGCGTTTCCCCTACAAAAGACTCATCAGTCACGCTCGAATAAAAAAAGCTAAAAGACCAAATAAAGTATGTAATGTGTCTGCAAAACATGTTTTATGCCTGATCTGCTGATTTAATGACAACAAAAAGTGTTCAAATCGTACAAATTTTGTCTAAAAACTGTGTCCATTACACAAAACATGTCTGTTCTATGGTCTCTTTGACACATTCCCCATTTCCATTCTCAATTTTACATCAATTTTTATAACAGTATTGTGGCGGGAGTTGTATGTAAAGGGCTTAGTTTTAGTAAATAGAGAAAACACTATGTATAAATGATGCAGACAAATCATTAGTCGGTAATACGTTAAGTCACATCTTGTATTATGATTATACTTTATTGACAATCGAGCACAATATAGAGGAGAAGAGAAAGGTAGAAACAAATTTGGGTTTGAAGTAGAGTCAGATTAATTTTCGACAAGTTAAAAAGGTCTCGCAATTGTATCATTAGTGAAAATAGAATTAGGCAAGTTAAGGTGCATTAACTCTGTATAACTACTGATATTACTTTTTATCTAAACAGACGGGAACACAGATATATTTTACTCCCTATCTTTGAATGTTTTGAGAGCGATTGATTACCCCTTCTGTTTCTGATCTGACGCGTATTACTTATATTCTGGTACATATTGTTCAGACTATTTTAATAAAACAAAAACTTATTCGTATCTTATTTTCATTTCAGCAGCGGCCATGTCTCAAGGTGGTAAGTAATTGTTTGAAAGTTTTTGATCTATAATTCAATGGTTAGCAATACGAGTCAACAGTGATTAACCGATATCTAAAACTAGTAAATCCATTTTGAATATACAAAGCAAGGTAAAAAGACCTAGGACTCAAAAAGAAGCGATACTGGATGAGTCGATATGATAAGAATCTTCAACTAAGCATATATCATCCCCTTGAGATACGGACTATTCAAAATATGTCGCGACACAGTTAAACAATTCATGGACAAAACAACCGTTATGGTATCTTAAGATCAAAGATTAAAACGTAAATTGTTTTACTAAATATCTTTACTAGTATATACAAAAATAGTTGTCATTACAGCACTTATCAGATATGGAAACAAGAGAAATCAGCATGCAATTGTCATTCTTAAAGATTATTCCTTGCATTTTCACAGAACTATTAGTGCATTTAGTTCGTCCAATAGTTTTCCTGGTGACTAATCATTAAAAACAAAAGTCATTTCCTTAATCAATAATTTAACATAACAACATGTCATTTCTTTTTTAGGAGGAATGGGAAATATGGGCGGTATGAATGGTATGAATGGCATGGGCGGCATGGGCGGTATGGGCGGTATGGGAGGTATGGGCGGTATGGGAGGAATGGACATGAATGCACTGATGGGTAAGTTATATTGGCATTTGTTAACGTAGTAGTATCATTATCATCGATCTGTTTGCTAGGAATATGTAACTTTGTTTGTTTTTTCGGTAATTTGGAAATTGGGAGAAAAAACCATCAAACATTGTTTCAAAAAAAAATATCAGCTTGACAAAAACAGAAGCAGAAAAGAATAGAAACATAAGATCAGAGAAAAAAGTACAATTCTTATTAAGAAATAAAATTTGTTTAAAAATATGAGCAAATTGTGGGTTGTGCAATAAAAAAGCAATACAAATAGTTATACGTGTAATAAAACAAACAACAAACGCCTCATTGATCTTGTTGTACCGTGCACCAATCGAGTGCGGAAAGTCGTGGCCTACCTTGTCAAACCAATAACTTGAAAATTAGAATTCATTGCTTCTACACTAAGCACGCGGCATTTAGCAGTTAGAGCAACGACATGCTGGCTCGGATTAGAAATTGTGTAAACAGTTATATTCTGCGATGTGTTAACGTGTACATTAGCACGATTAAAACAAGTTAGCGTGTCGTTATAGTAAAAGATGCTTTAATATAACATACAAACGTCTTCACGTCCTGGTATGAGTGTAATATCATTCAATATATTAACAAAGTTTTAAAACACACTGCCCGTTACATTTTGTATAATATTTCCATTTTATTTTACAGAGATGATGGGAGGAGGTACGACAGATCCTGGAGGTAAGTTTCGTTCAAAATAAATTTGTTGTATACAGATGGTACACAGCTACTTTTGTATGTGTACGCTTTAGTAATATTATTTGACATACTGAAAACGTACCATTCGGTGTCTGGTTAAAGGTTGTCTCATTGGAAATCATACCACATCTTCTGATCTTTATACTAAATACTATTTTAATTGTTTAGTACTGCGAAATTATTGTACGAAAACTAGCATACAAGCTATATATCACTTAATCAATTGAAATATGTTTAACTTATATGCTCTCACATGCTAGTTTAAATATAAATTAGGTCAAAAGTTTAGACATTTACTCAAAATATTGGTATCTTGAATTTTTTATTCTTGGGCAGAATACCTAACTTTAAATTTTAATTTATAAACACAAGGAGTTTTAGTAAGAACATTCAAAATATCTTATTTTAATAAGTATGCTCTTGTTTGTGTAACAACACGTCTTAAAAATCATTCATATTTATTTTTTTTTATTTTTTATATATGCATTTATATTTATTTTTTTTAAATCCATCGGCATAATTTTCATACAAAATTGGCACAAACCATTTTCCCACACAATGAAGCCAAGTGTTATTAAAAAACTCGCCTTTAAGCTGATGATTAAAGTCTTCGGAATATACATTTTATAACATTTGTCACATTGCTACCTCGCGAACAATAATATTTTACATTATCGACGTTATTACCTTCCGTGTAACAGAACAGTATGTCCTTATGATCATTAAAGACTTTAAATTGATTAAGTAATATATAGCTTGTACGCTAGTGTTCGTAAAAAACATCACCGTGGTATCAAAACTGTACCGTATTCCTTCCCTTATTGTGAAAACGTAAGTCGATCATTTTTTTTTTATCTTTACTTGGATAATAAAATTGTCATTTGCGTAAAAATCTTAAGTAAATTTGACTTTTCACACGTATCCGTTGTGTACGGTCATGAGTTGAAAGTGTTTAATATTAAAATATTTATTCTTTTAATTACATTGACTTTTAGTGTAAATAAAGGGGGAAATGCAAGACACTATTTATTTTCTAATCGTTCTTTTTTTAACGTCAAATGAGGACAAATTCAGGATTTATTTTGGGACGTGATAATTCTCAGTCTTAATTTCAATGGGAAATCACGGAATTTCATTGCAACCAATTTAAAAGTTGTTAATTTAGAATAGTCAATATGTATAATTTACATGTTTTAATAGAACGTTCTGCTCAACTTCACGGTAGGTTACATGGCGTACATGACAAGGCTAATGGCGCCCATACTTAGTGAAAACATGGCTGAACAAAAGGGTATGGGATCTGTAGTCAAACCTACTGTACATGATAACGATATTCACATTTGATAGTTAAGTTCAAATTAAAAGTTCATAAGACAATTTCCTAATATTGCCCTCTTGAACACAGTCTAATGATCAAGCCCATTTTTTTAATTTCTTTCTTTTGGTTTTTTATTGTTTACTTAATAATTTCTACCTCTTTTTATCATCTTTTCTAAATATGTCTCAAAAGATACCAGGAGCATTCCGGAAATGTTTCTTTTCTATGGCTTGTTTCGATCCAGTGTCAGAAAGAAAACTAATTTGAACATCAAGTTTATCTTTGCAAAACATGGGACTTTGAATTATTGCCATCAAGAATCATTGCTAATTTTTACGTTTAAGACAACTCGACTTGCATCTAGTATCTGAGAATTCGTTTAAAGCAGAAAAGCACATATATAAAAAATATAGAACAAATGTGACGGGAGACACCAAGGGGAAATTATCGTCTTTAGAACTTTAATTTGGCTCACAAATATATTGCAATTGAGGAAATAGATTTCTACCATCAATCCAGTTATACAACATTTGTATAAACATGATAAAGCGGATAGAAACTGTATAACTGTCTACAAAAAAAATATAACATCTTTATTATAATTCGATATTTACATTTTTAGCCAAGCATTTGTCAAGTGTGACATAAATCTATAAGTTAGAATTTAAAACTTAAATGTTTTGCTCCTTGCAGATTTCATGTACAGTTTTTCAATAGAATTTGCAGAATGCTATTGTTATAAAATAAATATACGGCTGCTGTTTTGCCTGCTCTTGTACAATATACTTATATCGACATATCAATATTATATGAATGTAAGACTGAAATTACAACTCTGCTGTTTGCGCACTCCGAAATATCTGAACATAGAACTTAATATTTACAGATTTTTCACTCTTTGGGGGGAATGGAGGGGTTGGGATGGAGCGGTCTATACAGTTTCTCAATTTATTGTCATCTTTATGACTTGAGATGTTTTAAAATTCATTATTCAATCTGTAGCACAATTAATATAGCTACCTAAATTTACTGAATGTGTCATATTTCTTAATGTTGCTGAATTCATTGCATTGGTTATGTCAAAAAGGGGCAGAATTACTTATTATGACACAAAAACTTTCTTGTTCGAACTATACGAATCTGGCTTGCGTCAATATATTTTCAGTTCAAAATGTATTTACTGGTGTAGAGCATATGTTATGTTTGGGGTATTTGAAGATTGTAAATTGTGGATTGTTATGCATTTCGTACATTATTGGAGATTTTGTCGTCAATACGTCTAACAATAATGGACAAAAATAGAATGTTTTGTTTTGTCATCTTTTTTTTTTTCTTTTTTTTTGTCCACCGAATCACTTTCAAAGCTTCATAACACTTTCCTTTGTTTTGTCTGTATAAATGAAATTAAATGAATGATTTTTTTCAAAATTGAAAAGCAACGATTATGATCACAAAACCGCAGTTTCGATAATAAATTTGCGAAGTTTAAAAATATTCTATTCAATTTGAAAAGCAGCAGATGTAAGACGACTGTTTCCATAAATGTTCAGCTAGGTGGTATTTTTACATTACCATTTTAATGTTATTCATTTAAAACATAGCTAGAATGTTACTATTGCTTCATACATTGTAACTAGCTTTACTTTTATAATTTTCTGGATTTTTTAATGTTTTAAGATATTTGCACATTTTCCGATGATTTTCTTAAAAGCATGTGTTGTAAATGGCATCGAAAAAATGATCAATTGAATTTAAAACACAATACAATATGATATCTAAATATCGTGCTATGTTTTTGTTTCTTTTTTTTTTTTTGGTGTCCAGTCACAAAATAGCAAAGTGAATGACTCAAATGGGTTTTGTATGACATACCAATGTTTAAATCTTGATCCTTTTTTGTATGACATACCATTGTTTGAATCTTGATCCTTTCATCCTTTCTTTGTATGACATACCAATGTTTGAATCTTGAACCTTTCTTTGTATGACATACCAATGTTTAAATCTTGATCCTTTCTCTGTATGACATATCCATGTTTAAATCTTGTTTAAATCTTGATCCTTTCTTTGTATTGCTTACTAATGTTAATTTAAACTAAGTTATCATGTTTGATTTTTATTCTTCTCTACCGCTAATGATTATATAGTCTGCAACTTTGAACATATCTTTGATTGTTTACAGAACAAATGACAAGTTCTAGGTTTGGAGGTAGAATGGGTAGTGCAGGTCTTGGTGGAAGAGGAAGAGGATTTGGACGTGGACGTGGAGGTGGAGGTGGAGGAAGAGGCGGAGGCGGAGGTGAAAATTCCCAAAGAGGTAAATATTAATTCAAAATATATACTGGATAAAAAAGAATACCAGCACTTTTTTATTGCAATATCTTTAAGTGTAAACCTTTATTACAAAGTTTTTGTGGAGTAAAAACAGCAACTTATGGTTTATTTTCCTTGTTTAAAGAATTTATTTATTGTTATGTTTAGGATTATAGTGTATTTTTTAAATGGAATATATAATAAGTATTTGTTGCTTTTTCACTCAGTATATGCAATACTTTCAATGCACTTCCAATTGTTTTTTTTTTTTCATTTGTTGGGGATTCAGGTACTTTTATAAATAAATGATTGAAATAGAATTTTAAATTCTTTCGTTTAATGGCAGCTTTTGTCAGCATAACACTTAGTTTACAAAGAGCCAGTGTCAGTTTAATTGAAAATGCCATTATTGTGACATGTCAAAGAAACGTCGTAAAATAACTAGAATTATAAGCTCAAAACATTAACTTCCATAACGTAAGCTGGTACTATGAAGGTCTTTAAAAAGTGTCAGCACGCTATGAACTTGTAAAATGGTTCCAAAACATTTATGTATACGGGACTCATTAATAATCATTAGATCCCGGACAATATATAGATGTATTTGTTAACTGACCAATTGAACAGTGGTTAACGTTAAGTTGCAAATATAAATTGCAAACTAAGCAGTCAACATTGTGTTATAATCTTAATCACTATGAAAACAAACAAACATGTCAACAAAGAAAAAAATGGCATATAGACACAGCACATAAGCAAAAAGGAAATACAAAAATACAAAAAATTACCATAGCACAATAACACAATAACGAGATTTATAAGTACCGAGCCATGCCAAAAGGATATTACCAAAAATGGACTAAATAGTGAAGGTAATAATTCGCAAAGACAAAAATGAGTGCGTTATTTGTTAAAGAAGAGGGACGAAAGATACCAGAGGGACAGTCAAACTCATAGATCGAAAACAAACTGACAACGCCATGGCCAAAAATAAAAAGACAAACAGACAAATAATAGTACAGATGACACAACATACAAAACTAAAGACTTAGCCACACGAACCCCACCAAAAACTGGTCCGCTGGAAGACAAGTCATTCCACTATATCATTCCGAATGCGAACCCAATCTGCTAGTCGAGTATGGAGCACATAGTCTTTTATTTGACACTGTCGAACCCCATAACGGCCGCAGTCGAGTTGACATTGCTACATATACCATTAAAACACCTACATGATTCTGCTGTGAAATGTATCAGACTTATTGTATAGAAAACAAATACCTTTCGGAAATATTTATAAATTTTAAAATTTGTACTTCCTGTATGTGTGCATATAGACATTTTTACAAATGTTATACAAAACAATATGTATTTAACAAACATCAGAAGTCTACAATTTATATTTTGTTCAAACAACTAATTTGCATAAAACAGATACAAGCAGCGTGCAAGAAAAGATAGACAAGTAATATAGGAAATCCTACTTCTAAATTTAATTTTAGAAGCAGTTGGTTTTAACATTTTAATATTATCTCTGAAAATGATAAGATTAACAAATACGTATAAAAGTATCACAATTAAAAGAAAAGGACCCGTTAATATTGAATAATTTTGAAATATTGGTTCCTATGACTCCTACATTTGTTATAATAACGCTAATATTTACATTAATTTTTTTATAAAACTATCTTGATTTCAGATCCAATGATGCAAAGAATGTTACTCGAGAGACAACTGAGAAGTAGTAAGTGGAATTTAAAAAAAACAATATGTTACACATAACAATCTGAAATAGAGTTATAAATGCACTGAGTCTGGAACCTGTACTCGTGTAGTTGGCATTGGTTGCTGTTGCCCTTCTCATGCAGATTGTTTTTAAAGCACATATGCAGTGCAAGACGACAAAACTTGTTTACTCAGACTTATCCTAATGTAGACTATCATCAGTGTCTGAGCAAAATATTGGTGGTTGTCAAAGAGCGTCTCGTCCTTTTTTTCAGACAGTTCATCGGGAAGTACCATATTCTACTAAATAGATATTCAGCGTCTTCTTCACAAATAATACAAGATGGTCTCGAGTTATAGACTCTAGGTGCTGAAGTTGTGTATCTTCTTATTTTATTACAGTTTGTATTTGATTTTGTGCTATGATGTCCCTTTTTGGTCGTATAACTATTGACGTGACTAGGTATTTATGCATGCAGCCATCGAGTTTTTGGCTTTGTGCGTTACGAGTTCAGGTGGGTCTAGAGGTGTGACTCTGACGCAAGCAGTTTTCATAGTGTTATTTTTACAGTTTTGGCTACTGGATCCCAATTATTGGCATCTTTACCCATTATGGCTATTTGAGTTGCTCCCCCAATTTTGTAAATATAACGGAAGTATTAACAGCTGTCATACATGTAGGAGGTTTAGCTTCCTATAAAAACCAGGTTGAACCCATCATTTTATTTGGAAAATGTCTAATAATTCAGGAATAAGACGGTTGTGTTCTATTCGTTCTACTAGTTGATGAAGTCTTATGTTTTATTTTGACAGTTTCTATTCACTTCTTCCGTTTGAATGTACATTGCAGTTCGGTATTTTTGTCGTATTTTTTTGCTGACACTGCGTTAAATCGCTTCCAATTAACGACCTGATCTTTTGTGCAATATTTCATTTAGATCCAGATCAGAGCACTATAACAAGCTGCATAGAAAAACGTACAATAAAAACTATTTAATACATAACACAAAAAAATTCTATAATACAGAAAAGAGCTTTTCTCTATAACATCAATGATTTCTGATGTACATTTAAGTGAACAATTGTTATTATGTTTTCCATCTTTTTGTTTAGTTTTCTAATACAAGAAATTTTTACTTATTCAGAAAGACCTGGTTTTGACCCTGGAGAAGCACCAGAAGCTGGCGGTAAAATAACTTAAAGGATTAAATATATTAAATATGTCTATCTTTATAATAGCATAATAAACTCTCATAGAAAAAAAAGTCATAAGCCTCTTAATAAATTGATTTCTGTTGTATTAATTAAAGGGTGTGTTGAAATTATAGAAGAGTAAATATGGAGCATATAATTCTGCTCCATGGAAGTGAATTATCTATTATGGTTTCATGAATCAATTCACTATATCTTTATATCAAATACAGTAATTAAAAGTTTATGAATTTAAATATCTTGTTTTCAGGATTATTAATGGCTGGTATGTCTATTGGCATGTGATAAATCGAACAAAAAAGATACATTTTATATTCAGCGACAGTTAAAATTTTCTAAACAACTTATATAAAGAAATACACAAAAAAATTGTTGTTGCGTTTCGTTTCAGTTTGAAAAGATTGTTATTTCATATCATCTGCTCTATATTTCGTTTTTACGAAGTAATCATTTTTGTCGTTTCTTTTGTAATTTGTAATTTTGGCTGTCGCCTAAAATTGCTCTTTTCACTTGCGTTTGCAGAGTGTTTTCAGCTAAAAATTGGAAATATCTTTAATATTCAGGGATCATTGGTTGCATGTAATTTTGCTAAGAGAAATCAGAGTTAAATAAAACGTAAAAACTCAGAAATTTTCCTTGATTTTACTTACAATTACCACATGGATGTAATAAAAGAAATTCTTTCGCCTTTTATAGAATGAGTTTTTTTCAAATGTATTTGTTAAAGATAAATATCTGTTTTTGCATCCTCCAACAAATCTTTCAAATAATATAATTCAAAAATTTCTCTGATTTCTCATATTGCTGCTAGTTTTTTTCTTTAAATGTTTTTGAAATATAACTTTAAAAAAATTCTGGAATACTTTCAATTATAAGCGCATGATTGTTTCAAATCTCGGGACTTGCATGCACAGGGCGAATGCATTTGGAGCATAAAATATTTCATATTATATGGATTCATAATTGTTTGTGGGTACCAATTTTCGTGGATTTCGTGTGTATTGGTACGGCACGAGTTAAAATGTTCAACGAAGTACTTATAACTTTATTCTTGTGTGCAGACTTTGAAAAAACAACGAACTCAAGTATTCATGAAAATACAGTTTTCCTCCATTCATGAAAATTGGTGTCCACTAAAACAAAAAATCAACATAATGCTATCATTTATCAAATATATCATCTATACAATCAGCGAATATATAAGTAAAGTTATATGGCAAATCCTTTGAATTATGTACGAACATACACACACATATAAATAAAAAAAATAAAAAAGGCAGCAACTACGGTTTTAACAAAAACAACAGGTTGATAATTGTTTTCAAGAATATAACACATTTTGTATATAAAATATAGATAAGGAATTTGGTGCCAATCTTTACGTTCGTTTCAGGATAATCAATTTCTTTATATAAAAGTTAAATATGTATCGGTCCGACAAAAAACCTTTGAAATCCCGCACATATTTATATAATCCTAGACTAACTTATAATTGCACAGACGAACAACGTTTTATTGAATAACAAAACGTTTTTACCGAAGAAACAACAAATTATGGTAGACTGCAAACTTCAACGAATGACAAAACAATACAAAATAGAAACATAAGAAACTGCCACAACAAGCAAAAACAAATGTATTCCGTGCTGCATCAACTCCAAAAAGAAATCCTTCGTATGTACATACAGATTTACATACGATGCTTAAAAGTACAAAAGTATAAGTACTCTATTAATTGATTATAAACAAAAAGCATGGGAGGCAAACGAAATTCAATCCGATTACTGAGCTGAAATAAAAGTGATCATTACTTTTCGTATTTGGAAGTATGTATTTTGATAGGTTTGAGGTGATCGCTCGTGAAATTAGTATACATTCCTGTATATTTAATAAACTTTCGTCTATCAGGTGACAAAACTAATTTTTCATTGTTATTTATGAAGTTACCGCATTTGTCAGGTGACAGAAAATTAAGGTTTTTGCTCTTGAATACGCTACTTTGAGTCATGAAAAAGACACGAAACAAATTTTCATTGCTATTTGTATAAATTACCGCATTTTCACCTCTTTACAGTTTTATAATTTTCGTAGAAACTGCCTCTTCCAGAAATACGTATTCTTTTATTTGATAGATTATAATCACAATAAAAAAGTGATATTTCTTATATAAATATTTGATCTTTAAACATACATGTTACACTGTCCTAGGAAAGTGTATTGGTAAATATTTGATCTTTAAACGCACATGTTACACTGTTCTAAAAAAGTGTATTGGTAAATATTTAATTAATGTACATACCAAGTGATTACGTAAAGTGTGATTGTTAAAAAGAAAACTTTTATTTTTATAACCATTGATTTAATTTCATTGTTTGAACATTTCAGCCATGATGGGTCAAGCAGGTGGAGCAGGTGAGCAATTCTATGCAACCAAATTATAAGGGGGAGGTTTAGCTAGCTCTAAAACCAGGTGTAACCCATCTTTTTGCCCGGGAAATGCCTATATCAAGTCAGGAATATGACAGTTGTGTTTTCACTCGTTCCGTCGATTGATTACTCTTTATTTTGTCAGTTTTATGGACCTCCCCTTTTTGAATTTACCTTGTATTTTAGTATTTTTGTTATACTTCTTTTTTTATATCAAACATAAAACATTATTTACTCTTTTATAACATGTTTTGTTATATAAAGGTTATCTGTGAGACACTTTTAAGTCATCCGATGTCATTAACGTAGTATATTCGTTTCGAACCATTTGAAGATCATAAAAACAGTCTTCCTATTGCTGCCTCTGTTTTCTCTCGTTAGCCGCCTTACCTTCAGTAGGTTGACTGACTTTGTCTAACTAAAGTTAAGCAATTGTCATATTAGAATAGAATAGAATTTGAATGTCATGATTTATAGTTCAGACTTCGTATGAAATGTACATGGAGTGTTAGTGCGTCGGCTGCAGAAATATCCTGTAATACGATTCCTAGCTCAGGAAGTTGAAATAAAACCGAACAGCTTCGTAATACTCCCTAAATTTGTAGTTATTACATATTGGTCTATGTATATTTTGTATTTTAAAATCTACTGGTCGGATTCAAATCACTATTTTGTTAACAACTGTGTAAATCACTTGATGATGGAACAGTGTTTAATTTTACTGATCAGGTATGTCCGGAGGCGGAGGAGGAGGAAATGATATGGCAAGTCTATTGTCGGCGATGTCTGGAATGGGCGGTGGCAGCGGTGGAATGGGAGGAGGTGGAATGAGTGACATGGCGTCATTGATGTCCGCTATGAGTGGAGGTGGTGGAGGTGGTGGAGGAACTGGTCAACTTAGTCCAATGGACATGATGAATCTAATGAATGCAATGGAGAATACTGCACAAAGTGGAAACAGTAAAAATTCTACAGGTATTAAAGTTTTCACTGATTTTTTATCATTATATATACGTTCAGATTAATTAATGATCTGGGAATCAACATTATAAGTTGAGGAAGGAAATATTGTACTATGAACAAAATCAAATTACTAAAAGATGCATGAAACAATGTACATCAGTGTATTTCGGTAAACTATTTTTGGGTACACTTTCAACTTAAAATGTATTTTCCTTAGTGTTTCATATCATTTTGTAGAATATCACACATTTCAAACTAATCATTAAACCCTTTCGGCCTTGAAAACAGGCAAATGCAACGGAAGTCGAATAAAAAAATAATTTTCATCGTATTACTATGACATGTGTTTTTCTGCTTATATCCTCTATATTATACTACCTTGGTCCACACATGTTCCTTACCTTCGACGTATTATTTTTATAGGGAATATTGCCGATTCAGTGTTTTAAATTGATCTTTCTATTTGTCTATCTGATCAACAAATTGTATATTTAGTCGAGTACATGTACTTATCTGCAACAGAAATAACGTTTTTTTTACACATTTTGTGTTATTGTAGAAGCAACACAATCTGGAGGTTCGACAGGAGGAGCGGAAGCGTCAGGTTTCGGTACTTACCTCCTATTAATCTGATTTACAATACACACACACACACAAACACACACACACACACACACACATATATATATATATATATATATCATCGTCTCTTATTGTATTGATCAATTCAATTTGAAATCATATTTATTTTTCTAAACTCTCTGATTGACTGATATAGTGTAATGAACTTTTCTGTCAGCCCTTTTGTTCCGGACTTTCATTACATTACCTCGGCTTCCTTATTTCGGATAGATTTTATTTTAATGTTGAAGCGTACTGTGTAAGCGATTTTCATAACAGCTACTATGTGTTGTATATTGATTCTCTGGATTAAGTAAAAGTCATTAAGAATTTTTATTAATATAATACTACAAAGGTCGATTAGTTAGATAGCCAACTATCTACCATAGACCCTAATGATATAAGCCATTATGTCAACGTACATCCTTCAACAGTAAACAATATCTGCACTGTAACGAAAGATAACACATGTTTCGATATGACGAAATAAGAAACAGTGTAAACGAGAACGCAAATGGCCCGATTTATACTAAAACAATAAACAAAAATTACAAATATAACAGACAATTCCCAACGACAACCTCTAAATTTCTTGCTCCTGCATTGGGACGGTATTTAAAGAATATAGCGGGATAAAACTTATTTGTGAAAGCTCAACACTCCCCTGAGAAAAGGCACTGGTGTAAAAACCCGTTATCAGGACAAAATGACAAATCAGTTGGAAAGTACTTGATTCGTCAAATCGGCATGATGCACAATAACAACCAACAAATAGACACAAAGTAGCTATCTAAGTTACTGAAAGCTAGTTCATAGTGAAATTCAACTAATATGTTAATCAGGTATTCCCTGACCCAAATATCAACGTGTGCACATCAATTAGATTTAGTTTGAATATTTTAATGTAAGTCAATTTAGTATACAGGAATGGTATTAAATGTGTTCTTTTTTTAAGCTCACCTGGCCCAAGAGAGCTTTTCTCACCACTTGGCGTCCGTCGTCGTCGTTTGTTAATTTTTTACCAAAATCTTCTTCTCTGAAACTACTGGGCCAAATTTAACCGAACTTGGCCACAATCATCATTGGGTTATCTAGTTTAAAACATTTGTCCGATGACCCCGCTTGCCAACTGAGATGGCCGACATGGCTAAAAATGGAACTTAGGGGTAAAATGCAAGTTTGTCTATTATTTTGAAACTGTTATAAATAGAGAAAATCTGACTGGTACAGAAATGTTCAAAATGTTGAGCTTTACCAGTTGTTCATATATGTCAAAATAGTCAGACGACTTGTTATAAGAGTTATTGTCCTTAAATGACAAATTACACCATTTTTACATTTTTACCTATTATCCTGAAAACCAAAATAGATAGAGAGAAACTCTTGATAGCAAAAATTATCAACAAGACAAGATCTATAATTAAGACAAACATGGAGGAACTCGTCCGACGACTCCTTGTTAGAGTTATTGTCCTTTAATGACGATTTTTACCATTTTTTTTGCTTTTTGCCTTGTATGATAACAAATTCAGAAATAAGATAAAGAGACACATTAAATAACTAAAATGGTCAGCAAGGCAAGATCTACTAACTTTTTTTTCGAGCGTCACTGATGAGTTTTTTGTAGACGAAACGCGCGTCTGGCGCAAATACAAAATTTCAATCCTGGTATCTATGATGAGTTTATTTATATTCATATATAACCAAAAAAAAACTTTACCTCTATAAAGTATTTTACCTAAAATAATACAATATATCTTACATAAAAATAGAGAACATGCAGATAAAGGATTAAAGCAGCATATATCAAAATACAATGATAAAGCACAGGCATATTGCATAAAATGCTAAGCACTGCTAAAAAAAATATAAACATGCTAAAAATGAATCGCAATTGTAATTAAAGCACAATTATAAATTAAGCAAAATTAAGATAAAGCACATCTAAATAACAAAAAAACAAACTTAAATTGAAAAATATACTGCACGTTTTAGCATATGCGTTCAATTTAAGACCTTTATAGCTTAAAACAAAATAGCATCTAATCTACATGAGATCAAAGACAATCTGATTCATTCCAAGATTTTGTTAGGCTCTTGAATTGTAAAAAAAACCTAATTTGATATTTGATTTTCAGTGGTGATCTAATTATAAAATCATTTGATTTGTTTCTTTATGTTTTAAATAATTCCTAATCGTGTATATCATTTAACCGGAAATTGAATTAAAAAAAAGTAGAGTTATAGAAAAGTGCTTTGTGTATGCACTGACATACATTAATTAAAAAAAAACAGCTTTTAACTTATTTTATTTATTACGTGATGCAATTTTAAACTGGAGATAGTTAGTTGTAAAAACACAAGGGGAAGAAACTCAGACTCAAACTCAAACTCAGAGAGATCAGCACGAACCTCACCAAAAACAGTTTCTGCAGCGCGGTTGTTTTTTCTGAGTAAATGAAATTCCTGAACATAAATACTTAACTCCCTATATGATTTGTTCTGTTTCAGATATGGCGTCATTTTTAGCAAGTGGTGCAGGAATGGGCGGCGGTGGAATGGGAAACGGACTTGGAGGAAGTGGTATGGGAGGTGGGTTGATTTAATTCTTTATTTATTGGATTGCCAACGACCAGAGGCTACATGTGTGTCTTTTTAACATAACTATATTCAGATTCACAATTAACAATTTTTTTTTTACAAACATGTTTAACACAAGACAAGACAGGACAATATGAACAGGACAAGACATAAAGATGTAAACTTCACACCATCCAACTACTCACTCATTTATACTCAGACACACACGACTTAAACGCAGTAATATAATATAATGTTAAAGACAATACGATTATAAATACAAAAAGGTCAAATGAAAAAAATATATATATAAATGTATGTATGTGTTTCTTACTTGATTTGTTTTGGTACAAGGAAAAAGATAATACAAATAAGTTATTGATCTATCGTGAAGACATGTTTTAAGGTTTAATATATCAGAACACACATTAAAACAGTTTTAAATTAGCATCATGAGACAAATTATCGCTACCTTCTAGTAGTGAGGTAAAGTACTTTGTACCATCTCCTATTTTTATATTATTTCGATTTAATGATTTTTTACATTAATATTTTCAGAGCCGTCATGCGAAAATTTTAAGCACATGTATCACGTGTATTAAGATATTTTTAATTTGTATGGTGCAATATATATATGTTCAAAACATATTTACCAAATTATATTTTACCCAGCTATTCATAGTGTACCAAAATGATTTATCGAAATGTGTCTTTCCCGAGTGTTCACATCATACTATTTCAAAAAAATATGTTCAAATAGGATTTTACTGAGCTTGTTATTGTGAAAAATTCATTGTTTATAAGTTTTATTCACATATTGTAGGTATGGAAATGCAGATGATGGCAGGTGAGCAATGGGTATATTTTATTGTGTGTAAACGCTCAACTTATATACAGGGATTATAGTTAAAAACACCCATTATATATCAAATTCACATTAATATTTGTTAAAAAAAAATATTAACACTTTATAAATTATATGCGTTCGAAGTGCTTTTTTTCTAAAATAACTTTGATCAGGAACGCTAAAAATCAAACACATGTTGGCCAAGGAAGTATAATATCCAAAACATATGAGGAGCTATATAACCAAAAAGCACCAAAACATAATATATATATAAAAAAAAATGCAAATAATCTTAACAAAGGGCTCTCCATGTTTAATGATAAAAAGACTGTAGAAGTAGGTGGTATTATAACAATAAATAAATGTGTATATTATAGAAGACAGTATTTTACATCTAGATGTCTTCTTTTGTGTTTTTGTACTGTTGCTGTTTCATTACAAATAACCCACATCTCTTTAAATTGATGTTATTCTTTAAAACAAACTGTTCTATTTTATTATTGCAGCATTAATGGGAGGTGGATCAGACCCTCCAGGTAAGAGCATTTACTCTTTATCTATAATGTGACGAATTTTGATTGTAGGCTCAGCAGTTGCAAAATTCTCATTATGTTTTTGTGTTGCATAGTGTGAGAAAGATACAACTGAGAAGTAGATAGAAACTGTTCATACACTATTTTTTCTATTGATTTTCATTACTGCTGCTTCTTTACTGTTTTTTGCTTCAATGTGTTATATTCACTCATGTGTAATTTTATTGATAGTAATCTTATTACTTCATGTCGTTTTCTTGTAAGCTTTTAAATTACTTATACTAAAGCTCTCCCACTGTAATTGAGTTTTGTTCGTAGGCAATGTGCAAATATATAACCGGGTTAAACTCAGGATCTTTGCATATATTTTCCTTAAACTATGTGCATATATGTAACTTATGTATTCAGAAACAAATCTTTGTTTACAAAAATGATATATATTCCAGAAATGCCAGTACAAAGAGGTATACCAAAATATATATAATAACCATATATAACATGTATAATATTATATAAACAGGGTAAACTTTCGTTACAGGAGATAACTCTTTTAGTCGGTTAGGCGTTTGTAATAGTCAGATTCGTTAATGATTTAAGCATTACATGTAAAAGAGAACTAATAATCTGTGTTACTAGGAAGCTTAGAATATATGAATGTAAATGGGTTGAAACAAACGCACACATGATTTTTAAGAGTTATGTCCCTTAACACAGGTCTATCGCCTTCCTATACATTAAACTCGAATTGATTTTTACGTCTTAATTTACAATATACATTGTTGTTTTTATTTTTCATTCTAAACATTTTGAAGTGATACAAGGTGATAAATGAATGTATGTTTTGTAATCTTGAGAAGGAAATAAATATAGTATAATTTTCATGTATCGAAGTAAAGGAATTTGAGTATTGGCAAATATTCAGTTGTTCAGTTAAAAACAGTGGTATTCTTTTTAGAATTTTAGTGGTACGAACAATGGTATACATGTAAAGAAAAATTATATAATTATCATGTGTGAAAATATAAAATATTTTGCAAAATTTAGGTTTACAAGGACGAGGTAGGTCGTCGTGGATATGGTAGAAATAATACTACTAAAAATATAATAAAAACACCATTTCGTATTGAAAGATGGTGTCGATATCAATTTTTGTTTTTAGCACGACAGCAAAACGAATGCTGTTCTTTCATTGAATAGTTGCATAAGGTTTTGGTAATAACTTTTCTACTCAAAACAAACTCAAATAAATAGGACTTCCATATATAAATGTATAAATATATAAAGCAGGAAAGATAGAAATGTTTTATAAATGAACAAGTAAGAATGTACAACATATGAACGTACTTTTTTGTATGAAATATGTCCTTAGCCAAATTGCTCACTTTCCAGATGAACTGTGTGATCTTGTTATAATTGTCACACGTAATAAGAACTTATAATCGTCCATATAGCAATACGTTAGATTTTGTACAGATTGTCCTCTTTTTTTTAATCATCTGAAATATTTCTATACAAAAGTCAATTGAGATTTTTTTTCTTCATGACGTTAAATTGGTTTATTAAGTAATGTAATATATGTTAATTGTTCCAATCATATAATGTTCCGATTGCTATTGTTTTAAAATTATAGGAATGATGGGTAGAAGAGGAGGTAAAAAAAAGTCGAATTCTCTTTTCAACATACGTGTGTACTTTTTGTTATCTATGAGTTTTTTCTTCCGTTTCCGACGGTTTTTCCGATGGTCACTCAGGTTTCCTCCAACTATAGAAATTGGCCGCCACTATAAAGCCAATAGTACTGGAAGTGTCGTTAAAAACCACCAATCAAACAATCATTTTCCAAAACAGCTTTTGTAACAAAGTTTATTTTATAAAGGATACATATGTTGACTATGGGTTACCTATCTTTGATTTTAATAAACTAATAGACCAGACGAGATTATAAAATATATCCGCCATCAGGAAACAACTCTTACATTTGAAAAAGTACAACCGTAGATAGAAAAGAGATAAGAATGCAAATGGTCTTTTTCCTCAAACGAAATTCCTTAACATCCGGCAATTTACGATGAGTTGCATTCGCAAACTATGTACTCTGTCGTTAAAATTTACTCTCTTGCATTCAAATTAACCTATAGCATAACGTACTTATTGTAGCAAACGAAAGAAATGAGCATGTTTAATTCTTCAGTTATTTTCTAATTTTGCCTAACAATTGATACAAATATCAGCTGACAATGTATAAATGTTATCCGTTAAATAACATCACCGAAAATATCAAGCCTTTATGAATTGAAGCTCGAAAACTTAGGATGAGGTTGTTAATAACATTAAAGCAACACATATTGACAAAGTGCATGAAAAGGGGAGGCCCATTGTTCCCGCAGGTATCTATTAGTACTTTCCATTTAATCTTAAAAGTCAAAAACTGTTTAATCTAAAAAAGATTAACAAACCAAATATTTTCTTTTTTGTTTTTTTTAACAATCTTTCAACTGTTTTCAAACCGGCGATTTTCATGTTTTCGTTTTGAATCTCCTTAAACTTGCTTCCACTTCACAATAAGTATGACAAAAGGAACATTCTTGTCACGTTATGCGACGATCTGCCAAGCAAATTGATATTGATACAATATTCCGATCTTTTGTACGCAAATAATTCTCGTTTAACATGCGGTTTTTTCGGTAACATGAAGTAGCCGAGTAATACGGTTTCGATAAAAAGTCAATGCATCAATTTGAATGATGATCTATTGCAAATGGAAATTGTACTAACACCGTGCTGAACATTATAACTTAAGTACACTTTAAATTGTTTAGTTTTATTATCTTCCACAAGCACTCAAAAGTTATTGTTTCTTTGCCTTTTGACAAATTCCTCATCTCTCCTTATATAATTATTTGACAACACTCGACGATTGTTTTCCAGGATCTTTTGTACTAACTTGTACTCTTCTTCTAACGAGTGTATAGTCTATGTGAATGTTTTTGTCATTTAATCACGAGTTCATTAATCATAACTCTATTAATTAATATTGTCAAATTCGTTTCTAATCTACTTATTTTGTCTGTCGTATAAACCTTCACGTAGTATATTTAACCTTATATGTTTTATAAACAGAACCTGTTGGTAGAAGTCTAAACATACTATACTAAAAAATTTAAAATATGGACAACAATTACATGTAACTTCTTTTTAAACAAGAATAATGTTATCACATACTGAATCAAGATTGAGACCTTTTTTAATTGAACTTTAATAGTTTTTTTATGTTCATGACTAGCTTTCGCTATTCTAAACCATGCTGAATATTAAACTCAATCATAAAGAAATATCATTCTCACTATAATAATCAACATTTGAAATTGACTCCAAACTTAAAATAAATTTTATCCAAGGTCAAAATGAATTGTATAGTGATGTCTAATTTTGAAATGAAAAATAAGTGCTTTTCGAACTATAGGGATGGGCCTATTTGGTTTGAAAAAGAGGAGCGCAGGCCGAGGACCCATTCCTTGGAATTTACAGAGTCAAGGTAAATTGAAATGTGTGTAACCATATAGTATTCGCTCTCATATATACATGTATTCATAAAAATCAGTATATATAATATAAAGCTTTGTGTGTTGATGGAAGGGGGGACAACAATTAATTGTAATGTTAGATCTTATGTATTTTTTTTTTTGATACACACAACTGGAATGTGAGAAAATAACATTTATTTTAAGTATGTAACATATTACAATTGTTTAACTTACAAAAAAGCTGGAAGTAAATATGAATTCCCTTCCAAAACATTGTTTTGAAACTCATACAGAGAACTTTTATCAAACTATTGAACACAAAAAATCGTCCAATTTAAGCTTTAACGCAAACTATTTCCAGAAATGCCTTGAATCGTTCTATTCTTAACACATGTGATTTTATGTCAAATCTTTTTTTTAGATTACGACATTTTCTTTTTTATTCCTCCTTACTTATGAAATGTCCTGGTTTACAAAATGAAATGTATGTGAATGAATATATTCAAATTGGCATTAATGAATTTACGAGTTTTACAAACAATGCGGTGAATTTGGCTATAAGGTATAAATGTCAGTATTTTTGTCACCTATTTAATTCAATGGGTTTCCAGAGGAAGGAAGCTCCGGTTTGTTTTAATGCATTAATAACTCGGAAGAAGGGCTATATTAAGCCGTAGCCTTTTCTGTATAAAGAATTATGACGATATCTTGTTATGATATGTAAAAGCAGATATTATATTGTAAATTTTAGCTATTTTATAATTTTTTACGGGTTTATATGTCTTGCTTACAACTAATTCAAATATTTTATTGTAATAATATGTATCTTGTATATTTTCTGTTTAAATATATATTGTTTTACGTTTTAAACATTTATTTCCGTTTTCCTTTGTATTCCTTTGTAGGTATGTAGTGTTTCACTTAGTATTTCACATAATGAACGTAGTGATATTGCATTAATTGGCTTCATATACTGTTACCTCTGTAGGATCAATGTGTAGTTTTTGATAGATGTTTGATGTCTATGCCTGTATATCTAAATGTGTCTATAGCTTTCCTAATGTTAAGCGTTTCCTTCTTATGTCGTCATCATTGTAAACTCCTTTGTTTCCTTCTATGATGTATGTATTAAACCTCCTGGAAAACATTTTGATATTTTACTTGAAGGAGAAGAAGCCATGCACTGTCCTAATGTGAACGAACATTATTGGCAGTAAACCTGTTTTACATTTTTAATCTAATTAGTGCTTTACTTGAGAAACTATATGGAAGCTATTGGCAAATATATAAATATATAAATGCGTAGTCTTATACGTTTGCACAGCTGAACCGCTCTTGAATTATATACAATGATTAAAGAAAACCCAATATTACCTTACACAGGTTCCAGAACATCGAAATCTGCACCATCTCGTACAGGAATGACCAACAATAATGCCGTTTTTAAGAAACCATCAATGCCCACCAATAGCAATGCAATGGGATCGAATACTATTCCTGATTGGTTATTGAAGAAATTGATGAATACCAACAATGCTAGTCCTCCAAATAGACAAAGAAAATCAGTGTCAACTCCAACACCACCATTGCCACCAACTGCTCTTCCAACTAATAGGGCATTAGCTTCAGGATTTGGTAAGAATAAAACAACTTTTTACAGAATCATGTTAAAATTTGAATATATTTGTTTAGGTTGATTGCTATAAGTGGTCTTGAGATTTTATGATATCCATAAAAGTATGTTAGGCAAGATACCATTTCTAGATCAATCACCGCTTACCTTTGGTATACTTTTGGTTCGTGTTTCTCAACTGTTTTTGACTTTTGATAGATAATTCGTTTTGGCACCTGTATACCTTTTAATGAATTCAAATGAGAAGCATCGTCAGTTAAATAAATTGAGTAGGAAATGCTTATTCATTTGGAACGCACGAGCTTGCCTGAGGTTTTCTTAGGAGTGACGTTTTCCTTTTTTGCACTAGTTTTCTGCATTGTTCTTTATGATGTTTTATTTTTCAATGCACATTTGTTGTTTCAATATATCATATTATTGTCTATCCCCTGATCTTCAAATATGTCAATTTTTATTTTACCTTTTCACAGTTGGTCATGTTTTAGGGTTGGACATAAACAAATCTACCTCAGTATGAAGAATAAGCAATGATCATTACTTACTGACTTTTAACATGAGCAACACGACGGGTGCTATCAGGGAATCATCGTCCGTTATGGTTATATAACTTTCCCCTTGTTCTTTTGATGGTGTTGTGTTGAACAATTTTTTGTGTTATATTGAACATAAGTAGACAAATCTGGTTTTCTCACGTTAAGCAAACAAAGATCAAGGACTGGAAATTAATTTAGACAAAACTAACAGTATATGAAGTAAAAGACATAGTCAAGACAAAATTGGTGTAATGTGGGGACTGAAGTAGGTTCCAATACCTTCAAATTGTCGGATATCACTTTTTGTGTTAATTAAGATAGAATGTTAAACCTAAATTATGTTTACCCGAACACAAGAAATAAAAACAAATATATTACAAAAATATTCAAAACGGTCACTTACCTCATTTGGTAAAATGACGATCATGAAGGCTCTAATTATATCAAAATTTAATCAACTGTTCCCGTCCATCCCAGGTCCCGATTACAATATTGTACGTCAACTTAGTTATAGTTAAATGTATACATTCATGTAGAATGATACACCTGAAGAGATAAAGCAGGATCTTCTATACCAAGCATACTACAAATCATTAATTTGAGAAATTTTATAAATGGGCTAAAATTGTCTGGTGTAAGAACATTATATAAGATAAATCTTAAGTGGATTAAACTATTTAACTCTTTTGGAAAATGTTGTTTGTGCTGTATTGAGATCCCTCTACTAAGCTATTTCTTTTGCATGCACACGTATACAAATTGCGGTTTTTATCCAACGCAATCATAGGTTTGAACGTTGTTTTCAATTTAGACTTATTTATATTTTTTCGTTTGGGCTTGTATTATATTTGCCTTCGGGTTTGTATGATCCGTTCATCCTATTTCGACTTTTCAATATTCAAGAGTCTATCCTAAATTGCGGTAAATTATATGGCTTTCCAAATACCGTTTCGATTCCTAACATCACTGAAGAGACATTAATTGTCGAAATCCGGATATGGTGTACAAATTTTTGCACCTCATGTCTGCGGTATACCATCTTTCCGCAAGTTTATTGTTTTCTGTTTGGTATTACATTAGTAATAAAGATCCATTTTGTTACATCTTGTGATCCGTTTATTTGGGAATCGCCAATGGCCGTCAGCAGGGTTTAAGAACATCAATTGTTCGACCTGTTAGTCAAATGCGTTTTGTTTAAATATACTTTTTCCCTTTTTTGGTCTTTTGGAAAATGTTGTTTGTTCTGTATTTAGACCCCTCTACCAAGAAATTTGTTTTGCATGCACACGTATACATATTGCGGTTTTTATCCAACGCAATCATAGGTTTGAACTTTTTTTTTCAATTTAGACGTAGATATATATAGTGTTAATGTTAATGTATATTTCAATGAATATGGCATGGTATATGTATTTGTATTTGTGTTCTTGTACTGTTATTACTATTAAAATTGTATTTATGCAAATGGTATTATTATACATACTAAATCCATAGATTATTGTGCTACAAGATGAATTTTTATAGATTCCTGAAAATTCATGATAAAAAACGAAATTATATAAAAAAAGAAAAAAATCTCAATTGAGAAAAACAACAAATATATGTTTCACTGAGCCAAAAAAATATTTTTTCGTAATACTAACACTTATCATGATGTATTATGAAGTTATGTAATATTCTGGACGTGTAGTTGACATTTAACCTTACATCAATAAAGTTGAAAAATAAAAAAAGCAGAAATTTAAATTGTATTACTCAAAATTCTAGCGCTACCTTTCTATGTACTGGAGACATCGGAATACAGTGAGAGTATAGATATGATATGATTCTTAAAGTACTTAAAGTTTATGTTTATACTTTGTCAAATTATTTATATTCAGTCAGTTATAAGAAACTGTATGTCGGCATTAAACTCAATTAGCCTTAAATGTCAAGTTTCATTATATCTTTAAGAAAAAAAATATGATACTGCCCCTCAAGTTGACAGTTCTTTTTACAAATATTTAATTCGCTGCTTATTGTTACTTCAATTGTATGTTTTTTTCATAAAATATAACAACCAAATCATAGGAATCAAACATATATGTTAAGTAAACAATCAATGATATGGTAGTCCAATAAAAGACTGGCAAATGTATTGCAAATATTGTGAGGTGTAGGAGAATGAGATTAAACAAAATATTTTTTTTTTAAATTCAGACGCTTTTTCGAAAACAGCATCTACGCAAACCGGCGGAAGTAAATTTACATTCCAAAGTCCAACTGGTACTGGTTTGACAGGAATGCCTGGCACAGGAAATGGTGCATCCGCCCTAGGCAATATTGGTGCCACGGCAACAGCTGGGATGATGTCTCCAGGCTTAGCTATGGCCCAAGCAAATCCCATATCAAGTAATATGTCTCCAGCTCAAATAGGTGAGAAATTTATGATGTTATAGTATTATTATATGTATGTACAAATACTGGGTTTTTTTTTTCTTTCATATTTCATATTTGATGTTATCAAAGGTGTAAATATATCATAACAGTTACTTTTAAATAGTGAGCTTTTATCAGATACGACTATAAATGTTCAGGGTCCATGAATGGAGACGTAAACGCCAATTCGTTATGTAAGGAAATACGTCATATCTCCACGAAGTCAGCATAAAATTCATCAGCTCTTCTTCAATTTTCCAAATTGATTTGTTTCAACACTAACAGTTATCCCTCAATATAAAGTTAAATGACGTACGGCCTTCAACAACAAAATAAATGTCTTGGAATATACTTTCTGCACTATATATGTTTTTGTCATTCTTAAAATTGAATGGAATAAACTACCGACATAAACTATTAATTACTGATTAATAAAAAAAATTAAATATAAGAAAATCTACGGGTTTGACGAGAAAAGAGACATGTATACTAATAATATATCATAAACATAATAAGGTAATTCCGAATTTGATTTTTCTTTTCTTCAGAAACTATGTTTACAGCAATAGGAATGATTCCTGACCAAATACGTAAGTATATTGATAGGTGTCTAGTGTTTATTTTCTACAGTATGAAATGCCTTTACCAAGTTAGGAATATGACAGTTGTTTTCCATTCGTCTGATCAGTTAGAGCTTTTGATTTTTCCAAATTTTAAAGGACTTTCTATTTTAGATTTTCCTTGAAGTTCGTTTATTTTTGTTGTTGTAATTTTAAAGAAATTCTAATAAAGTGAACTAATTGTAGTGCGGATGCTTATTTTCTCGATAAACCGTCTCTACCCGACTACGTAGCAATTCGTGTTTGTGGCTTTCTTTACACAAGAGAAAATCAAATTTGTCATATTCATGACAATTGTTTTTTCTATTTGCGAAAGATCGTAAATAATTCCAAAATAAATAGATTTACAGCATCTTTGTATCATTTGAAATGGTGATTATGATATCTACTCAATCCATTTTCTTTCAATACTTATGTTAAAATATGGGTAAAAGCTAATGGTACACATGTTAACCTCAAGAGTAAACAACTCGTGCAGTTAGTATATTCTTGCAATAGATGAATGAAAAAAACTATATGTCACCGGAACGAAATTGTGTCTACTAACCATTCGAAAGAACCTGATTCAGCCCGGGTTTGTAATAGAATTTTTTATTGTTTAGACATTGCAGCGAAAAAAAAATATATGTCACCGGAACGAAATTGTGTCTACTTACCATTCGAAAGAACCTGATTCAGCCCGGGTTTGTTATAGAATTTTTGATTGTTTAGACATTTCAGTTTTAGACGTATTCAATTTTATTCATGTGGCCCAACACACTATTTATTTGAGCGTCATTAATTAGTCTAGTGAACACAAAACGCATGGCTGGTACACAAAGCTATAGGCCTCTCAACTTTGGTTGTCTAACACGATGTTGTCTTTCCTTTTTTTTTTTTGGCTTATGAGGTCTTTATTTATTATTATTCTTAACACATTGTTAATCGTATTTCCATTATCCCCAGTTTTGATTATACTCATTATAGTTTATAATTAAGACTTCCGGCGAGAGGATATAGCAATTGAATTTAGAATAATTTGTTATGTCCAATGGAAGATTGTTCACATAAGATTATCTTCCATTGACTAGAAATAATTTAAACTGAAAAAATTCGAGTATACAATATGTTATAGATATAAGAAGATGTGGTATGAGTGCCAATGAGACAACTCTCCATCCAAGTCAAAATTTATAAAAGTAAACCATTATAGGTCAAAGTACGGTCTTCAACACCGAGCCTTGGCTCACACCGAACAGCACGCTATAAAGGGCACCAAAAATTACTAGTGTAAAAACATTCAAACGGGAAAACCAACGGTCTAATCTATATAAAAAACGAGAAACGAGAAACACTTATAAATATGTTGCGTTACAATTGGGTTACAACTTTGTACGTTAGATTGAGGGTTTGATTCTTTAGATAGTGTAAAATGTGTAAAGTAAGTTGGATCCATGTTGTTTCTCCAGATGAAGAGATTACTTTGTAAAGCGCATAATGGGTAGTGCATTCATAACAAAAGACGCATGCCCTGTCGTTTCTCGTGATTATCTTCTGTTTTTAATCTTGATTTGTTTATTAAAATTGCTTCACGAATTCGAGCACCATTTATCTATTGCCTTTGATAAAGAAAGCAACAATATATTTAAATACAAAACATTAACACTAATCTTATAATCCCAATATGAGTATGAAATGACAAAGGTATTTTTTTAATACTCGTTCTAGAAATTCAATCAATATAATGATGTTTATACCACTGACGTTCACTTTTTGTGAGTATTTTTTCCAAATGTCGATATTTAAAATCGTAATTCATGGTCATCTGGTAATAATTACCTCCATGAAAGAAGATGTCACCAGAATAATAAATTAATTCACAAAATGTTATTTTGTTTACTGCTCATAGTACATCTCTACACTAAAAATATAATCTTACAGGTGACATAAGCGGCGGGGTACATGGATTAGCAAGTGAGTATAAAATAACGTCTTTATGAACTTTTTGATCTATTTTAAATCAAATTATTTAACATAACACAATTATCCACCAGGTTTATAGACATCATATGTTTGTTTGCAGTACACCAATAAAACTGAAAATTTGAAACTGAATTTTAGATCAAATTTTGTTTTTGTCATACGTACGATTAAAACAAAGAACTCATTCTGTTTGTGATTTTTTACTAAACAATGTTCAACTAGACCATCACAGAAGAAACAGTGAATGAAATAGACAGTTAAAAATGGCGTGCTTCTGGAGCGTTTTTCGGGATTACATGTCATTCCGAATGTTTAAACCAAAACATTTCAAAGCCAGGAATGTGTAAATACGGTGCAATGTTAGAAGCTATATGTCCAATGATGACATTACTAGAAGACTGAAATCCCGAGACTGAAATTGACGAAATGCGATGAATTAGAATCGGTACCATTAATGTTTTAGCCCCTGCAGCATATTTGAATAGATAATTTATTGAATCAAAAACACACCTTTAAACACATAACAACACTTTTTCACAATATTTTGTTATTGTATTAAATGTGAATAAATGTTTTATTGAAATTTATTTCATTGATTTTACAGTGATTCCAAATTTTAAACTTTGCGACAATCCACAAGTTTTGATATTTACCTTGATCTACTCAATGAATGAATTAGATTTGACCATCGGTTAACTTTTAACCTCTTATCTATTACTAATAATCATAATGGTATGCTTATGCTTAGGTGGTACCAAACACCTTGACTAAAATAATTTGGCTCGTTTAATTTTCATAACATATTGACAGAATATTTACTTTGACCCTTTGACAAAAATATAAAAATTTCAAAAAACTTTAACCACACACTTTATCGGATTTGAAATGCAAAATTTCATTGGATATATAGCAGTGTGACAAACATTAATTTTGATCATTGAGAAGCTTAATATTTCCTTAACAATAGAACGTGATTAAAACGTTCAGTTGATTTGTAAGAGTTATCTCCCTGTAGTGTTATATACCAGCTTAAAATAATATAGCAACATATGATAACATATCTTATTTTTTTTACAGCAATGCTACCAGAAGATATTAAAGGTAAGATTGATATTTGGGTAAACTTAAGGATGTGCTTTTTAAAAGACTGTTGTGATTTGATAGTATATAAATAACAGAACTAAAGAAAATCATTGTTTTGTGATATAAGTCATTGATAATTTGTTGGGAAATGTTTCTCACTAGATTTTTCATTCATTTAAAGGTTGGAACATTTTTTCAAACATAATGAAAAAAGATAACAAGAATGTAATAAGATTTATTATTTATTTTAATCTATGTGTAATAAAATTTTGAAAGTAAAGTAGAGGTCAGTTGATAAAGTTTTTAATGGTACTACAAGGATAACACCGGAGGATTTCTAATATCTGACAAAATAAAGAAAAAAAGAGAATAGGACAGTTAATAAATAAAAAGATAAATCTTCATTTTAACACATGTGAATGGAACAAATTTCTCTAGGATTTAAATGCGTTATATGTACAGTCGATATATATTATCGTGAATCATGATTTGTTTTCAATATTGTTACAAAATGACTGTCATACAAAATGTAATCACATATACCAGGGACATAATGTGGTTTGCCAGACGCACGTTTCCTCTACATTGTTGACGCTGTTATGTGTGTATGTGTTTTTTTTACAAAGACAAATGTAACAGTGTTTTTTTTGTTTCTTTTGTAGTAAGAGCAATCCAGATGAGAGCCAGTAAGTATAGTTGATTGTATTTGAAATTGTTATGTTTTATTTATGTTATTCACCCAACACTTTGACTTAAATAGATTTGGTTTGTTTAATCTTCACAAAATTTTGATAAAACATTTACTTTGAACTGTTGACAAAAAAATGAAAATTTCAAGAAATTTGAACCACACTGTTAACAGGAATAATTTCTTTTTCAGTTTGACAGACACTAATTTTGATCATAGAGAAGCTTGATTTTTGTCTATACTAATAGTAGATGATTTAGACGTTCAAATGGGTTTTAAAGATTTAGCTCCCTTAGGTGTTCCGTACCCCCTTAACACAATTAAGGATTGTAATATGGAAGTGCATCACTATACATTATTTCGAAATGAAAATGTTATTCCTACGAGACTTGGGAACAGGTAAAAACGCGAGGTTTTGCCGCGCAGTTCTAAACTTTCCATGGCGAGTGCAACTTTAATCGGAGACGATGTATTGTATTCCGTTTTACTACAACGCTCTCAATTAAGGAATCTGGATAAAACATGATGATTTCTAGACATTAAGAGGATGTAATTAAATTTTAGGGAACCTTTACTTCTTCGTAAGGACATAAATAAAATTCTACAAACTAAAATTGTGAACGTCAACACAAGTTTTATACCGTATGTTAGTGTATATTGCAAATGTTGATACAGTCAACACAATTTAACGACACAAATAACAAAGTTGCTGTTTACAAACAATAAAATAATTCGGGCTTATTATTTGTTATTGGTGGTTTAAGAAATACATATACTATGCTAGATATCTGGATAATTAATAAAGGATTCAAACAGAAATTTTAAATTGTCATTTCGATACACATGTTCAACCAGTGCATTCTATTTTAGTGGGTTCAACCCCTGACCAAATAGCAGACATATTAGGAGACGTTATGCAAGCAAGGCGTAAGTATTGATATATATTTTATATATATTGAAGACAATGCTCAGTTTCCTCCTTCGTTATCTCCAGTCATGAAAGATTTACAACTTGAAGTTAATGAACTAGCTATTTTTCAAACATGTGAAAATGTATTATCTAAAATATTGACACACGATAATTACAAAAAAAAAGCATAAAATGTTTTAATTAAATTCGCAAAAACTTTCAGTAAACATTAAAGCTAAAAAATGAACTAGCATTGTATGATAGCGATTTCTAGTCTGTAAACACTTATTTTTGGGTGTTCGACCTCCGCAAGTAAAAGGTGCGTTCGACTCCGATCTTAATTGACTAGGGTTGTCAGATTCTTCAACCAATAACAACTGGCAGTCCTGATATAGTCGAGGGTTCTGAAAGTGGCGTAAAATACTATTATTCAATCATTTCAAATGATAAATTGCAAAACAATTGCATCAACTGTAATAGGGTTATACTTAAGTACGCCAGAAACGCGTTTCGTCTTCATCACTGGTGCTTGAATCAAAACAAATATAAAAACCATTAGGTTCGAAGTTGAAAAGCATTTAAACAAACAATTCCGAAATATGATGCCCGCCTATACCAGAGGGTTGAAAAAGACTTCACTACTCCGATTGATATACATATTGTTTTACGAGTCAATTTACAAGGTATAATCACATCAATAATAATTTTATGTAAACACAGGAGCGCGGACTTCTGTTGTGAAACCCTTAAAACAGGGAGTTCTCCGACCAAAAAAAAGTAGAAACCAAACAGTTTACCTGTCCAGTACAAATAGATGTATTTCTAGTTATAAAAACAAATGCGTAGATTATATTAGCTAGTGGACAGAATTATCTGTAGCATTAACTTTATATCGTAATATTTCTCATTACACAAAATGAGAACGTATCTTAACTTGCAATAATCTTTTTTGCAGGGGCTCGATTGACACGGAGTGAGTATTTTACAGAATGAAAGTTTTTTCCCGCCAAAGTAGAATAAAAACAATAATATTCTTTGTAAAATCAATAAGTTGATGAATCAATATTTGTAAGGCAAATATATTATGACAAAAGTTAAAAAACCAAAAAGTAACGTTTGATATCGTTATCCTAGAGATTATTAAGGAACAGGGAGCTGCAAATAGAGTAATAATGTGTACTGTCATATGAAAATAATATCTTCTTCTACTCATGTAACTCTTAAGGTTGTATTCATGTATGTGGAACTGCAGATATCAATTAGGTACGTGTGCACAAATAAAATAACCAACAGTGAAAAAGTATAATCTATGATGAGCAAATAGTTATCAAAGGTACCAGGCTTATAATTTGATATGCCAGACGCGCGTTAAACATGTAACTTGTGAATTGCGAAACCGATACATTTTAACAAAAACCGTTTCTATACAGTTTGTTGATTCCAGTGCTTTTTCTTTATAACACTCAATGAAGAATTTTGTATTTGAATATTGCTCGGTTCGTGATCTCTCCATGTCTTGTATTATACTAATAGCATAATTATATACATTTCCATGAACATAGAATCTATATTTTAATCAGAATGTAAAAGTCCAAAACTTAACACACTTTAAAGATTTGATTTAATTGAGAAGTTTCCACTTTTATTTAGGTATCTACCATTATTTAAGTTGAAATATTTTCTGTTTCAGTGGGAATGGTAGGATGATTCTAGAGACACCCGCAGAACTTAAGATAATTTATGATATTGTTACATTGATATGAAGACCTGAAAAAGAAAAACTACTTAACGTCTGACAAAATCATTGTTAAGTTTTATACATATTCATATTTCTTTTTACATCTTATAAGTCATCTTCGTAATACAATTATTCTTTTATAATTATACTTTATGTTATTGACATTTTAATAATGAATTGCTTCAAAAATGAAAAGTTGTTTACATTTTATTTTCGTTATACATATATGACAATTAATCTTGTTTGTATTAAACCAAGATGTGTCGAACAAGTTGAGTTACGATCCCCGGAAAAAAAATACAAATAAATGACACATGTGCCAGATTTGTTAACTGTCATATATTCAAAAATAGGTCAATGTCAGAAATTTATTAACGTTTTTATGAGGCTTAGAAATTGGAGTATGCAAGCCTTTCAATAATTTCGTGTGAAACGCAAAAAGTGTTGATGTTTTTTTACATTGATCTCACAATATTGACTAAGAAAAAAATCGTTTCTGTTACAATAACAGATAAGTGAAATAATATACCAAATGAATGTGATGATAGTCTTTTAGTATAGCTTGATGTAATTTGTTGGTTGTTGTGGTCAATGATCATTTATTTATAACTGGAAACATACTGTTATGACGAATAAAGTATTTGTCTCTATTCAACGGATTTGTCTCTCTTTTTAAATGTGTTGTTATCTGTATACAATACCAAATCAGTTTTTTACTATTGATGACATTCCTAACCTCTAAATTTAATTCGGTCGCCTGTAAACAAACGCTCACAAGCAATATCGGGTTTATTTAAACTTTACATTATAGAATTCTGTATATAAATGCCTTCGATGTCATAGCCGATTGTGTGAGACAGATGATATCTAGACAGGCCTATATAGCCTAAGTCATTATAATAAATTCAGACAAGTCTCATCTCCATGTGGAGAATCTTATCTCGAAATGACAAGGCTGGCGTATTTTGAGCAGACATGTTGTTCCTCACTCATAACTGACAATACCGAGGCAAAAATACAAAAGACGACCAAAAGACGAACATGACGAGCAACAGTCCACAAAGAATTACATAAAACACTGGAGCTTGAGCAACACCACCCCCACCAACTGTCATATTCCTGATTTGGTACAGGCATATTCCGCTACAAAGTTGGTTTTATAGCTAGCCAAACCTCCCACTTGAATGACACTTCTTTATAATCAAAACTATAGTATATATAAAGTGACTGTCTCGCAGTTAATTGAAAAGTTTACAGCGGACAGATATATTGGATTTCGACAATGAAACACAATACGTCGAAAAACAAATCAGACAAATTGACGGTGAAGTAAAAACGATGCATGAACAAACAACAGCCCGAAAAGCAACATACAGATACAGAAAGACTATACAAAAATATAAAGAAGGTATGATGATAATAGCCATTATTGGTCCCGGAAGTTGCAAAAGTAGTACAATTACTAAAGCCTTTCAAAATTATGTTTATTTTATTTATAAATGTGTTGTCACTTTGACAAATTTGACCTAGAATAACAATTTAACATTTATTTTTTGGTTATGAGCAGGAGCGTTATGGTGTTTTACTTTTTGGGTTATGCTGTTTCTAATATTTAATATTAATGACAAGATCTCGTGTTATTCTGGTATTTAAGGAGTTTTACACTAAATCCAAGAGGTTAAAAGCCCTATTTAAATGTCTTTTACAAACATATAAATACTGATTTCTTATAATCATCCGAGAGGTATTATTTGGTAGATTTACAATACTTTTTAATTTTCGAATTAAGGGGCCAAACATGTGGCCTTTCTAACTTATAATGTTTGTTATAGCTTTTCTTTATTTGTTTTTTGGTTCTACACGGTGTTGGCATGTATATTGTAGCTACATTAATAATAATACAGCAACGTTGCTTATTTTCAAAAAGACACAAAACAATATGAAATTTTTGTTCATTTTAGGTGAGTTCGATTTTGTTTTCTATTTTCTATTTTGTAATTTTTGTATTTCAATTATAGATTGTAGATCTGCATCTCAGATCATATTATACACTTGACTAGGATGTATGGTGCTTTTATCCCTTTTGAACACAGGGAAATACAAACTTTAGAATAAAATCAACAATAGACTTACATGTATATAACGAAAACATGTATCTTGTTAAATTATTTATATACATATCTTGACAGTCGTCTTTTTTAAAGAGCAACAAGCAAGACGTGTTTATGATTTGTTCGCTTGATACGTATTTCTAACTGGATTTTCACTATGTGTAGAGAATAACAAGACTAACGAAAAATTCAACATAGAGAAATCATTATTTTGTCATTCTTAGCACAACATGGCTTACTCTTATCATTTTAGGAACTCTGTTTAGCCCTCAAACTATTTGACTATTAAAAACAATAGTATTTTGCTAAATGAAAAACAATGTAATGCATTTTTAAATGGTTAGTGTTCAAAGCGCTTTTATCGACTTGATTTAACACGAACGCACACAAAAACATTGCAATATTATGGAAGTATTTAACACGTTAGAAGCTACATGAACAAAAACAGTAATAAAACGAAAAGCCAAATTCAATTTTTCCTATGCAATTGGAACCTTAAATTCTTGATATCATTAGTCTGTACAGGCATTTTCCGTAGAAAACGATGGTTTAACTTGTTTTTGTCGGGAGCTTAATCTTCCGTTTGTATGAAAGTTTTTTGTATAGTTTCGTTATATTGACAAAATTATGTGAGCAACCAAAATATATATCGTTGGTTCATTTGTGTCATATTTGTTTTTTTCGTAAATTGTTTTGTTATTGATAAGGCCGTTGGTTTTCTAAATTAAGTCGTTTCATATTTTCACGTCGGGGCCTATTATAGCCGACTATACGGTATGGGATTTTCTTATTGTTGAAGGCCGTATGGTTGCCTATAATTGCTTACATCCACTTCATTTGAACTTTTGCGGATAGTTGTCTCATTGGAAATCATACCACATCTTACTTTTATATTAAAAGGATTGTATGCAAAGTTTATTTTAGATGAATTTGGATGAAATATTTCGGTCATTTTTGTTATGCACACTTCTAAAAATAACTGACTCGAAGATCATAGGAAAAAAACCGGTTTTATGTTACATGTGGATCAGGATCTGCTTACCCTTCCGGAGTACCTAAGATCACTCTCAGGTTTTGGTGGGGTTCGTGTTGTTCAGTCTTTAGTTTTCTATGTTGTATTTTGTGTACTATTGTTTGTCTGTTGGTCTTTTTATTTTAAGCCATGGCGTTGTCAGGTATTTTCGACATATGAGTTTGAATGTTCCTCTGGTATCTTTCGCCTCTCTTTTACTAAGAACTAAACATCATATCCTGAAATTGCATTGGTAGAGGGCACTTTGGTGTATTCGAAATACTTCAATACGCTGCAAACAATGCTTTCCCTTGTTTAAATTGATATTGATGTCAAAAATAAAATGTGAATACCCTGACCAGCAAAATGGTTAACAAAGGTCTGTTTAAAAAGCGACGGTGGGATTTCGTTTTTAAATAACGTTTTAATATTTCGTTACAATACAGTTACATGGAGATTGTAAACATATCATCTCATTTGTAATTGAACCACTACAAGCTGTGTGTATTGATTGATTGATTGATTGTTGTTTGTTTTACGTCTTGTAGACAAGCTTTGTGTATATACTTGTAACAGATCAACAATAAAATTCATAATGTAAATATCTTAACATTTTCAGATTTCTGATATGTAAACATAGTTTAGAATAATCATTTTAAATACGGTAGAACATCAAAGGAGTGTATCCACGTCTTTACAACAGTTACTGTTAAGTACATGCATTATATCTTATTAAAGTGATCACATAAGGAGTATTAATATATTGTTGTAAGACTTCCCTATTACCCTCGACGATCTAGCTGGTAGCTACAGCATAATGTTACCACAACATAGTTAGAGGGCTTGATATACACCGACAGCCTAGCTAGAAGGCCTGATTTTACCCCGACATCCTAACTCGAATGCCTGAGATTGATGATGCATAGGGTGCGATTAAAACAAAATATTTATAAATACTGTTACTATAAAAAAAAAAGTAAAATCACAAAAAAACTGAACTCCGAGGAAAATTCAAAACGGAAAGTCCCTAATCAAATGGCAAAATCAAATGATAAAACACATCAAACGAATGGACAACTGTCATATTCCTGACTTGGTACAGGCATTTTAAAATGTAGAAAATGGTGGGTTGAACCTGGTTTTATAGCGCTAAACCTCTCACTTGTATGACAGTCGCATCAAATTTCGTTATATTTACAACGATGCGTGGACAAAACAGACATAATAGGTAAAATAGTCACAATATGGGTACAGCAGTCATCACTGTGTCACAATCTCAAAAGAAACAAATATTCAACAAAAAAGCACAACAAGAGTAAAATCACAAAATTACTGAACTCCGAGGAAAATTCAAAACGGAAAGTGCCTAACCAAACGGCAAAATCAAATGATAAAACACTTCAAACGAATGGACAACAACATCGTTAAGCATTTATAAAATTTAAAAACCACATTCATTGCTTCGCATGGCTGACGTCAGAAAATGTAAACGTCACAAAGGAAGAAATTTTGTCGTTCGTATTTTCAAAAAAAATTATAATTTCACATGGGGAATGGGGGTATACAGGGTTAAAAAATCAAAAGTTGTGTTAGAACTAATTTCAGAAACAGACAGAGATTTAAATTATCCAAAAGTTCTTTAGAATTTTTAAGAATCCACATATGGTTAATTCCACTACGCGAGTAAAATAATTTTGTCGTTTGTCGTTCAAAGTATTTTCAAATTTATAATAGAACAATAACAAAATGGCATATAATAGAACAATAACATAATGATATTATAACATGTCATTTCCAATGTCATTCCGAGACTCCCGTGTGAGCTCGAGGTGTTATGGACAGATTGATATATGTATATATAAATATATATATACGTCACATCTCATATTATGAGTACGAAATTTACCAATGGTAGAGAAATTGGACCAAATTTTACTAACTGAGGGGTACGCGATAAAACCCAAAAGGGACATCCTCTTGATTGTACTGGACGTGAGATACGCATCTATGTCTTGTCGGAATGGAAATATTTAAACCAAACATGTGTTGGCAAAGAGGGCTCTAATTCAACGGTCTGTGGTTTTTGACACTATTCAACCGGTATCTTTTTTCCTACTGATAGTCTAAATGTTTCGCTCCGTCCTCGTCTGCCCATTTTGGATAATCTACCTTTATATCTATATTTATTGCTAAGTGCTTTATCTTCAATGTGCAATTGGAAGACATATTCTGTGATTTTATTTTGACTGAAACAAATACCGCAGTAGTTGTTCCTTACGGAATAAAAGGTATAAAATATGTATTCCAACAGGAACAGAAATATGTCATTGCTTATGACAAAGTTACCAGGGAACTTCTGTAAGGCGGAAAAAACATACGATGACTGACTGAGTACTAGTAATTATGACACTTTTAAAGCTATTTTTATTTTTGCTTAACGCCTTGTGTTAATGAGGGATAATGTACCCCAAAAACGCCAAATTACCATCAGCAGATGTCATAGATCATCTGAACTGACAAGTAAAGG